TGGAAGAGAGAGAGAATTCTTCTTTCCGCACTGGGGACCTGGCTTGATTGCTGGAGCTGGCTCTCCACGCTCTTGCCAAAGATAGCAGATGATTTTTAATGACCACACCTATTTAGGATTGTTATTTTATGTCTCATTCAATAAAGGATAGAATAAATGTTCTGTTTCAGAAAAATACAACAGGCATGGTAAATGCGTCCAAAACTAACAATTTTTTAGAAAAACAACTGTGTTCTGGCGAGTAGCAGACTCAAGCTCTTTGTTAGTCTAATGCTTGCATAATGTGACCGCTGTTAATTTCGTTAGTATTTATTGTGAAAATTCTAGTTGTAAAATGTATACCATCATCATCATCTGTCTGTTGGGTTGGGATTCTTTTAATATTTTTTGTATGGCCTTACATTCCATTAAAAACTCCATACTTTTGTAGGGTGACTCTGGAGGGTGGTCCTGGTTAGTCGCTGGGATCAAAGCGTGCGTCAGCCTTATCTTCCTCGGGCGCGCTCCGGGGCAAGGCCGTTACCTTCTCCAGAGCGGTGGTACCTCCCCTCACCTTGCACTGCCACGGTTGCTCCTGCTGCTGCCCCGCTGGTGATGCCACCCACCCTTTCATAGGGTGCGCTTGTGTGGGCGCTGGTTGGGCAAAGGCTATCCCCATTGCTGCTCTAGAAGATGCTACGAGAGGTCCCAGTGTTGAGGGGGTGTCAGTACTCTTACAGTATTCCAGTAGTAAGTCCAGAGCCAGTGGACTTGATCTTACTGCGTATTACTTTTTGATTCATTTTTTCATTCATGATGTGTGTGCTGAACTAGCAACTCACAAGGAAACACAAATAGTAGAATTGAAGCAGCTGGTTTGCTTCCCTCCAAACCAGAAAGCTTCGTTTTTGGGCAACTGTAGTAGAAGCCAAAGCAGCCAAGAGCAGTAGACATGAAAAAGGCTGGTGTGTGTGCTACTTCCACGTCACGGCCAAGTAGATGAGAACTAGGCTGTTGCTTAGGAGCTCTTCTCTGCTTCTTCCACTTGCTTTTCTGTGTTTTATAAACTAGGCAGAACTAGCAAATAGACTGTCTGAAGCACGGGTGTATTTTTTAAAAAAACAGGCTGTTCAAAAAGCATCAGTTTGCTTTGGGACTTACATGATCTTGCCTGAAGAACCCCTGGTAATCAATACAATTATCATATGTAAACAGAAAGTTTGATGCAGTGTTTCTCCAGGTGTAATTAAAAGTTTGGGTTTAGATTTGTTGAATTTACACAATTGTTGTACCAAAACTTGTAACGGGGAGGCTTCTGGAGAGGTTTCCAGCGTTTGTTCCATAATTGCGCTAACATTGCTAATCCTAGAGAGAGCCTGAATTCAAACTGGCACACACGGCGTTAATGGAAGCATTCTTGATTTTTGAGGGTTTTGGAGATTTTTTGTGAAAGAGTTTTTGCTTTGGAATAGTCATCTTTATTTGCAGGCATGTGTGGTTAGAGGCTTCTTGGTGTCCTCACAAGAGCAGCCTCAAAACCGGCCAACTGGCTGATTTAGAGCCTACGGTATTATTGCTGTCCCCAGACTCCAGCCAGCACCATGAAACCACAAGAATCAAACAAACAATAGGATTTGTTTGGTAAAAAAGATTTTTCCGAACCCTGAAAGATGTCTTTTGTTGTACTTCAGAGAATGGGGAGGGAGGAGAATTCCACTGCTTTGAGTCCAGTCTCGAGGGACCGCATGAACGTTTGTCTTTTGTCCTGTGAAGGAGGACGGGGAAGTGTTTCTGACAAGGCAGGCTCAGTTGTTCGGGACAGCTTTACACACTGCTGCGTACAACGCCCAAAAGTAGTTTTCGTAAGCGGCTCAGAGTTGGTAGCCAAGACGTTCCCGACTACCTGGGGAAGGAGCTGCGAGGCTGGCGGGGAGCCCCCGTCTCAAAGCTGCGTGTAGGAACTCGCGGGTCAGCTAAAGCCCGGCGGCGCTTATTTGCGGTGATGAAGTTGAGTGCATAAGCAGTGTGGTGTGACTTCATCTCTTCATCCTCTGAAGCAAATTTCTGCATGTTCTGTACTCATCTAACACACTGGTGAAAAGTTAACATGATGTCTTTCCCAGTGTTGTATACATTTCGTAGTCTACTGTACACGATGTAACCCAGAACTGCTTGCAGGTTTCCAAAACTACTAGGATATCCGAGTAGAGTTTTGGGTTACATGACATGATTTGAATACTTCCCAAGCATTTTTCTGAAAACAGTTTTTCAGATAAAATAGAAGTAAGCAGTTATTGATTTTGTGTTAAGTAGAAGAAAATCGTTTCCTGGAAACAAATGCAGTTTGCAAACCGTCCCATTTTATATAAAAATAAAAGCAAAGATTATTAGGACAAAATCAAACCAGAGCCTTAATGAACCGTAGTTTTAGTACAGTTTAAGAAACGTATCATATGGAATTCTCATTGCAGCTGAACATCCAAGAAGAATTTAAGCAGCTGAAAGCAAAATGAAAGTTTTAGTGTTTGGCTTCAGTTTCGTCTTTTTAAAGCTTCTAATTGCTTCTTTCAGTTGTCAAAAACTCATGGAACGTGAAGGGAATAGGTGACAATTAGCAACAATGTCAGTGAGATGTTGCTTAAGAGAGTCAGCCTTGCCAGAGCCTTTCCTATCTTAAAAATGGGGAATTGAAATTTTAAAAGCATTTCTATTACATGTTAGGAAACAAGGGCTGTGGTTGATTTCCTTATTATCGAGTGCAGATGAGCTGTCGGGAGACTGTCAGATAGATGTTTTTCGTTTCTACCAGGGTGACTTTTCCCGTGTAGGCAGTTAAGCTGTTAACACTTTCACTGCCCTATCAGGCATTTAGTAGAGTCTTGCAAGTGTTAAGTCACGCGAAGTCTGAAGATCTTACAACCTAAAATACTTTAAAATAATGGTAAAACATTGAAAACAAATCTTTGAAAGTTGTAGAGGAAAAGTCATTGCCAAGGCCTGCTCTCTGTCTTATAAAAAACTTCAAAATTTAAATGTACCAATAAAATCTTTAGAAAATGAAAAGAAGGAAAGGAAAGATTGGCATAGGAGTCTGGTGTGGAACCAGCATTTCTTGGCGGTGTACAAATTCTTTCAAAGAAACATTTGGAGAAGTTCTTTGCAGCATTTTTATTGTGTTTTTCTTCATCAGTTTCATTGCCAAAATAATTTAGTGTTGCCTGAATACTTGCGCGCTCTCATTCTCTTTAAGCTCTTTGACACGAGTATCTCGTCTCAAAAGAAAGGCAAGCTCTATCTGTTAGACAATTCAGGCTCTTTATGCGGAGCATGATGGCAGCAACTGTAACGTGCTGTAGCCCGGACGGGTTTCTGAAGGCTCCGGACCCAGGCTGTACATCCTGTGGCTCAGGAATCTTTTTACTGCTTGGCCGTGGCCAACAGAGACGGCTGCTCCCTAGTGAGGCGGTGGCCATTACTGAGGGTGGCAGAAGAGATCCTGACTTTGAGATACCCCAGGGGCTACAGAATACAGTAAAACCACCTAAATATCAGTGTTTCAAGTGTTTAGTGTTTCGTATGGCACCAAACTCAGTAATAATTTGGAATTTTTGTTGAGCGATGGTATATTATTTAAAAGAGTTGCATTGGTGGAACAGATAATTGTCCATACGGCCTAATATCTGGACGCTTTAAAGCAAGGTATTAATCTTCCTTTCCTTAATATACTGTTAATTATCTAACACTATAGCTATGGTGGGGTTGGAGCAGAGGGGATTTCCTTTTGATCCCGGCTGGTGATCAGCTTATGCCATGATGATAAGGATAGATAGCCCCAATAATTCTTGCATAAGCTAACAGCACTTGGTATGTATTCCTTTTCATAATGGAAATTATATTTATGTTTTGCAGACAACAACCAGATGAAGATCTTGCAAATATTCCAGCAGCTTTTTGAGATTTGCTACCTAGTTTGTCTCAGTAGTCTAATTCACTCTTCTGCAAGTCCTGTAAATTTGTCTAAACCACAGCTGAACTGGTCATTACTGGTCGCGTAATGGTAAGATCTGAATCTTTTCATCCAGAATGAATGAAGTCCAACCAGATTGACCCCAGTCCTCCCACACATGATACACAGCGCTCCATCTGTACAAATTTCAGTAATACTGCTTTTCACTCTGAAAAGTCTTTAATTTTCTGAGCGTGCCCAGCTCTGAAATTTTTGTTGATGACACGAGCATTCACCGTGAGCACAAACGCTTCTTTGACTTGCTGGCTCAGTTCAAGAAGGACGCAGAAGAGTTGTGGTCGCCCTTTGCTGGTCTATGAGACTCCATGTGTTTTTTATAGGTGTCTTCCATTGGTATTTGGGGTTAAATACTGTGCTTTTTAAGGCTGGGATTTCTTTACAGAAGCAAGGTCTTGATTGTCCCTTCTAATTTACTGATGCTCTCACTTCCTCTTGGTTTTTGGATTCATTCCAATGTAGTCTTAGCAGCAGCTGTGACCAAATGTATATCTTTGCTAAGCTCATTTTGTAAATCATTTGTGCCATATCCCTTTTTGAATCCTGAAATGACGTTCTGATCACAGTTGCCTGCTCCGTATTAATAGGCAGTATGTCTGCATATGGAGTTTTCTTGTGCTGGGATGTGAATGAACAATGGGATGTGAATTTTGTTTTGTTTTTTAGTTCTGTCTCATTTGTGCTGTCTGCCTCGCAGTGCCTTTGGCCGAGGCATCTGAGCAGTTCCGTCTGTGTATTTGGAAAGCCAAAGTCAATGCCTGCCTTATCTCCAAGGGAATGCAGGGTTGGACAAGGCCGTGTGTCACGGGAATCCGGCATTGCCCTGACTATGCAAGAGAAAAACAAGGTCAGAGCGTTGCTCTGTAGCATCGGCAGCACCCATTGCAATCTTGCCTTACCTCTTCAAGATCAAAAGAAAGAACTGTCAGTGACAACCCTATCTTCTGTATCATTGCGCTTCACAGGCGGGCTTCCAGCTGTCCAAAGGAGATCAAAGATGCAGGCGAGACGCTTGGCTGTCCGCATCCTGGAAGCTCAGCAGAGCCGGGCCGATGTGGCAGCGGTGCCTGTGAGCCAGCCCTGGGCCGCTCCTCTGCCCGCTCTTACGCGTAAGTGTTCGCTTTGATGTAGCCGTGCTACAAACACAGCTGGAAGGGAGCTGCGCTCTGTCGCATGTTTTACTGTGACGTTTATTTCCCAAGCACGGTGGCTGCCTGTGGTAGGCTCGTGAGGAATACTCAGATTTAAACAGAGACAGAAGAATTGTTGAGAAGAATGAAATGCCAGAACTCACAGCACGTGCTCTTCTGCCTCACGGTAAGCGCAAAGTGAAACATACTCACTTAAACCCCACTCTAGATAATGAAGAGACTGAAACTGAGACTGGGTTTTATTTTACTTTTAGTTTTGTTTTGCGTGTTTTAAAATGACACTTGTAACGAAATGAGGAAGTCTGTATTGATAGTTACCATGTTTCACCTGAGGGCAATAGCTTCTCAGGATGTCCTCATAAAGCTCCTTGTAAATATGCAGTAGTCCCTCCAGACTCGTGTCTGTAAATCTTACGTGTCTCATTCTGAATCACATGTTCATTTCTGGCTTGTAAATAGTTGCAAATGAACCCGATTTTACTTCCTGTGAGTGTTGGCAAACTCTTCTGACAGGCATTGGTTGGCTTTCTGATAGAAAAAAACCCCAGTTACCGTTTCTCACACCTACTTCTCATTTTCGCTAGTGCTTTCATATATTGCAAACTCCGTCCCAGGAAACCCGGTCCAAACCCGAGCGGGATTTCCATCGAGGCCCAAGTCCATACCGTGTTCTTTTCTTTCTGTGCTTCTGGTGAAACCAATGTTCAACGGGAGCTGTTAAATCCATTGTGAATCAGTACCGTGGCTGTATGGAGGTGTCTCTGATGCTGCATGCAGCCACCCAGATAGGAAGCGGTGGGCGTTTTTTCCTTGACTATGTCACTCTTCCTACTACACGCTGGTAACAAACTGCACGGCTACTTCGTCATTGCCAGCGTGGTGCCAGTGAAGTGACATCAACTTAAATGTTGGGTGACCCAGTCCAATGCTTTTCATGTCCGCAAAATGCTCTATTTCTAAATCATTAAATTCAAAATGGAGCCCAGTATTGTTTGTACCTATTTTTTCAGTCGTTTGCCTTCCCTTCTATCTCTTCAAATAAGAACAACATGGGAGGCCTTTTATTTTCTGCGTCAGAACTGGAGATGGGATAAAACTTAAACTTGTTTGCCTTTTTCCAGCATGCGTTGCATTCACAGACCATGAAGAAGTCTGTGTTCTACCAGGGCCATGGTAACCATTGCCAGATTTTGACTTGATGGGCCAATTTTCATTGCTATTATCGGTCTGAAAAACAATCTTTTTATATGCCAAACCTGGCCTTTGCTCCGATTGCTACTAGGATTGGCAAATGTTCCAGGAATCTCATGTTCTGACTTAATTCCAGCATTCCCCAGTGATTCAGTTATTTCTTAGAAAAATATGTTCCGTTTGAAATTAAACACCGACCATGGTAGCGTGCATTTTCGTAGCAACTTTCACCCTGAAAGATCCCAAGTGATGTTCTTCACCGTGCGTACGGGATGCCATTCTCGTTGGCACAGCAATTACGGTGTGCCTTGGGGTGTTTCCCCCTGGGCTGCCCACGCTCCCCAAACACTCCTCCGGTGTAGTTGTTGGGGGTGGAACCAGCAGGGAAGTGAGATTGTGCAGCGCTTGGGGAGAGGGACAAGGATGGGTGAGTCTGAGGATGACCTTTCCTTCCCCTCTCTGTTTGAGATATGCAAGATGTTCTTCGGCAATTAAACGCGATGAAAACTGCCGGTTTATCTCTCCCTCGGTCAGCAATCTCCCCCTCTCTTTTTAATAGGACGTACGGCTGGTTTTAGCGCTGTTTAAAATAAAAGCCTAAGCTTCCCGAACTTAGCATCCTCCAAAAAGCCGAGTCGAGCGGAAGTTCAAGGTTTGTTGGGAATGTGGCCTTTAGAGAGTAGAGTCAGCTCTAAAGCAGTAAGACGTTCCCCTTTCCCAGTGAGCGGAGCTGTGCTTTCCCGGGTGCCGTCTCCAAACCTGGGGCGCTCGTTATCCACATGAGAGGCTGGAGGGTCTCTGCGGGGGCTCCGTGTCCAGGGAATGTCGCTCTTGTGCACAAAACCAAGTTATGCCGCCTCTCAATAGCAGTCTTTAGCAATACTGGTGGCTGTGAAGTAAATATTGCATCAAGTGTCTCTGGGGTTGTTATTCTGTGCTATTTGCACAACTGGAAGTTTGCCCTCGTGAGAACTTGAGGCAACCTTGTTGGGTTATGTCGTGCTGTGAGAAACGTGTACAGATACAGCCAGGGCAGGAGACAGGGAAACTGGGGTTTGTTGGTTTGGGTTTTGGTTGTTTGTTTTGTTTTTTTTAAAAGATCTCATTCTCATATGTGGGTCGGATAGGAAGCCTTGTTCCCTTTTTTTCTTTGAGGCCACATTTCCATTCTGTTTGCTGGTATTTCTCAGCATATTCACTTCACCTGGGCACATAGAATAAGTTCTGAAAGGCAGCAAAAAGGACGAACTGACAGAAATTATATGTATGTATCGTATTTTTGGTCTGTGCCCATATAGGATGGGCACATACTAATAGTAGGTACTATGGCATTGATCTTTATTTCTTCATATCGATTTCTCTTAGGTAGACAGGCAACATGCCTCGTCATTTTATAAATGGTAATTCCCTTGTCAGCCTTCAGCTATAAAAAAAAAATGCAAGCTGCTTTTAGGCAACCTTCTTGTATATTTAGGCAGATTGATGCATCTGTTTATCCTGAGATTGACACCAATATGAGGTAAAACATTAAAAGGTTTACAGCAAATTGTGCCTTTCTCCTCCTCGGATTTAGATGAATGACTCTATCACTTAAATAACTTATGCTCTCTGCTGTACAATTCGCAAGGACTGGCTGCAGCCAAAGAAAAAGTGCCATTTGTTTTATGTGGAAACTTAGCTGCTCTTAGAATCAGCTATAGTAAAGCTGGAAAATATGATAATGGCATTTTCATAGCGCAGTTAAAACTGGGCTAGCCCAGGTGGCACCACGCTCATGCACGGTGCCCAGAAGCACACGTTGCCAGATGGTGTGGAGCCTCATCTCACCGCTGGAAATGGGCAGAAAATGAGGGCAGAGCTGATTCCAGCTCTGTTGATATGTCTGTAGTCTGTCCACGCACGCCAGCAGTGGGTCAAAGAACGCCTTTTATTTGTGGTCAGTGATGAAGCTCCAACAGAGCTGTGAAGCGCTGAGGATCTTGAAAAACGTTTCAAGGCAGAAGGGTCACTTTCTGACCACGGCCAAAAGTTTTGCAAAATGCTACAGGGCTGGAGATTATTGGTATTCTTTTCTGTTTTCTTGTGGTTGTGGTTTTCGGTGAGCTATGAAGCGGATAGTAACCATCTTTAAAGTTTTCTTCTATGGAATGTTATAGTTACAGCTTTTGGTCTTTTTCTGTTTGTCTTTTGTGGGATGTTGAAAAGTATTTTTTGGTGCTCGTAGTAGACCAGATGTCCTTTGAGCTGTCCTTTGGGAGGTTTCTCCTTGTTTCTCAACATCACCAAATTAGCCATTACTTGTTCCTAGAACATGATAGCGAGGAAAGAAGCCCCGAGAGGAGTTTGAGCCTTTTGGTGGACTTGTGCCAGAGGCCAGGGACAGGGGACGCTGCTGTAGATGTGTGCGTGGGGTGGGGAGGCTGCCCTTGTTGCTTTCTCCTATCTCATTAAAACTGTTGTGTGTTTATCACATCAGCCTTGTGGTTGAATTTAAATTGCCCCTCTGTGCAGAGAGCATCATTTGAGGTGGAGGGGGAAAGGAAGCTCGCGCTGGTGGGATGCTGGCAGGACAGGATCCAAGGATGGAAGCCGCAGACTTGGTGCCTCCTGTTCTTTGAAGGCAGCGCTTGGTTAGGGTCCCGCTGCCGCTGTCTGGTGGGCTGCTGAGGCTCAGCGAAGGGCTCTGAAGGGAATGTGGCTTGCGTCCGAAGCTGCTGCCGTGGGGTACAGCGTCCCTGCACACGAGAAAAAGACCTCGTTCATCTCACTGGAACCACCCGTAAGACGGGCTGTTGGGAGTGTCTCCCCAAAAGCAGTTACTGAAAGAAAAGTGGTGGTGATGATGGAGTAGGGAATAAGCTTCTCGGGGCTACTGGCTCTGGTGTGAAATGGCAACTGTTAGCAGATGCTCTTAGTCTGATGACTGCCCATAAAGCTGCCTTGATAGCCATCTCCTTTTCTTTGGTCCTCAATAAAGGTGTTTGTAAAGTTTACAATATCATCCTCCCTATACGTAGCATTGCCTCGGTTTATAACATACTTCCTTACAGATTTTTATTTGCGAAGGATTTTAGCATTCAGAGAAATTGATAATCTTTCCTGCATGTGGTCGCTGCTGGAGAAAATAGAGCAGGAAATTAGATCCTTCGGGTAAGCGTTTGTAGCATGGTATTCAAATCTGGCACAGTCTTATTACTTGATTGGTCAAGGTTTGAAAATTTCTGCAGAGTTTTATCAAATCCCACTAACAGCATCTTGTTTTCATCCCCCTTAGACCACATAGGTCCTGTTGTGCATTCCTAAAACTGATAAAATGATGATAAAACTAGTTGATCCATTAGGACTGCTGTACTTAGCAGACAATTTACGTTTATGTTGGCATTTAAAGACAACAGAACGTGGCAAAAACAGAATATGATGAAAGTTGTGATATTTCACAGTTTAAGAAACACATTTTCAGATTTTTACCCTGATTTTTTTGCATATTTCAGATTACACTTTACAATTAATAAGAATCGTGTTTCAATAGAAAGTTGATTAAAAATAATTGTGAGAAACACCTGGAGCAGCTTTGATTAACCAGCTGTAAGCATATTTCTGAAAAGCTGAAAAATGCAACCCTGAGCTTCTTCCATGTTTCCTTGCTAGAAAAAGAAAGACCAATTCTAATGATCCTTTAAGTTACATTAAAAGCGGTGTCTTTCTGATTGCAGCCGCCTCTGAGATGGATCCCGTGGAGCGGAGTGACGAAGCGCAGCCAGAATACT